CTGACGATTGAAACGTGGGTTTTGAGCAGTGTAGGGTAGGGCTTGTTGTTTGTCATTTCTCCGATCACAAATATAGATGTGGTTTTATGTTTACGCGGTGCGATGCAACGCAATGCGTAAAAAGACAGTATAAGTCATTATAATCCGTAATTATGTCCCCACTGGATGCAACAAATGCCTCGTTTATAATGGGTTTTAATGTTTTTGTCTCATCGCTCCGGGACACGACATCACAGTATGGCAAGGGGCGTTTGAACCTTAAACCGCATAAACACATTTCACACATTTTTACACAAAATAATGTTCTTTTTAGCAACATCATATGACCCCTTTAATTGTATAATAAATAAAAAGAGAACATATAGAATACAAAAAGAATAAAAAGAATAGAATATATTAATATTATAATTCATGTAATATCATTAAAATATTTTAAAACATATTATTTGCTCTATAGGAATTATTTGCACTAATGATATTTTGTGCAATGTTTGCACAAAATCTAAGCTGCAAAGACTTAAAACAATAAAATGAAGATGTCATTTGGTAAAAACTCATGTTTGTTGTCGTTGCCTGATCTTATTCATTATTAAGACGCATACTGACACACGATCGTTAATCTTTTAATATTTGTTAGAGACACACTCATGTTCTAGTATATATATATATATATATATATATATATATAATTGCAGTATTATTTGTTAATATCCCCTATTTAATCTATTTGCACTAATGTTAATTATATTGCACTAATGTTAGTAATATTTTGCACAATTCCACAATTCAATTTTAATGCAAAATCAAAGCCGCAAACACTTTGGCTATAAATGAAGATGTGATTCAGCAAAAATGCTTGTCACACTTGATTTTCATCATTGTCTAATCCTATTAAGATGCATGGCAACACACAAACTCATTGTAATCTTTCAATATTTGTTAGACACTTATGTTCTCTCATCTTTTTTTTTTTTAATTTATGAATCATTTCTATTGCTAATATTTTTAGTTATTCAAATATTATGTTAATATTCATTGTTTAACATAATGTTATTTTACACAGTTTTCACACAAAATCTAAGCTGCAAACCAGCTTGTGATTTGCGAAAAACACTTGAAAACTCTTTGTCACACCTGATCTTCACTGTTGTCTGATCTTATTTGTGATTAAGATGCATGCCAACACACAAGCTCGCTTTAATCTTGTAATATTTGTTAGAGACACGCTCATGTTCTCTGGCACCATCAGACTTTAAAACATTGTGTGGCTGGAATAAATCTAACAGAGCAGGGGACTAGAAATATGAGTTTGTGTTCTACCCTCCATTTCTCTGTCTCCCAGTATAATAGCATTACTGGGCTGATGGAGCACTTGGCTCCTGGTGGTACAGTATGTCATGACGGTGTGCTTCGTGTTTGTCTGTGATTCAGCCCCCGTAGGCTCTGCACTGAGCGCGTACTTCGGCCATCGGCCAGTGGTCATGGCGGGGGGTCTGCTGAGCAGTATTGGGATGGTGGCCGGGTCATATGCCCAGGATCTGCTACAGCTGTACATCACTGTGGGGTTCCTTACAGGTAAGAGCGCGGCCAGCAGTGGAGCATATGGCTGTACTCAAACACACATTCACGTTTCCAATGTTTCAATGAAGATTCACAACTTGAAAAGATCATTAGCCATTTATAATAGCTGTATGGGATCTTATTCATGAACCTCTCAGATTCAAGAACACAGCAGAGCATATGATGAAATGAGAAAATGGTAGGGGCAAAAGAAAAAAAAGAAAGAAAGTTCACTATAACTGTTGGCGCATTTAGTCCAATTATTAATTTTATTTATTAATTACATTTTTACTATATCTTTCTTAATTACTTGTTAGTTAGCAAATTATTCATGTAGTTTACTTCATTAATTGCCACTTTCTTAGTATCTTAATTAACATATTTTTAATGTATTTTACTATTTAGTTATTTTGCTTAATTTTTGTTTTGCAATGTTATTTTTGTTTTATTTCTAATATTTATTTTCATATTTACTTATCTATATATTATTATTTTACTATTATCTCTTTTTGTACTGATGTTATTTTGCACAAAATAAGCTGCAAACACTAAAAATTGACTGATTTTGTCAGACCAGTAAAGCACACTAAGAAAGAAAGAAAGAAAGAAAGAAAGAAAGAAAAAGAAAAATATATCATGCAGCACAATTTTTTCAACATTTAAAATAATAATAAATGTTCCTTTAGCACAGAATCAACATTTTAGAATGATTTCTGAAGGAATTCAGCTTTGCATCACAGGAGTAAATTACATTTTAAAATATATTTAGATCGCAATAATATTTCACAATATTGCTGTTTTTACCGTATTTTTAATAAAATAAATGCAGCCTTGGTGAGCATAAGAGAAGTCTTTAAAAAAAAAATGACGTTATAATCATACCGACCCCAAACTTTTGAATCGGGAATTCAGTGTTACTAGACGGTCGTAATACACATAATCTTGCAATACAGTTGTCCATTTAACCAGTGGCATTTCAGCATTGTTTTACCCTTGAAAAATTAATGACTTGTCAGAGGAATAAATGCTTGCTCAGGGATATCCACTTGCTTTGCTCTCTGAATGTCCTTTTTGTTTCGTCCTCTGCAGGATTTGGCTATGCCCTGACCTGGACCCCTACTGTGACCATGCTGGGCTGGTACTTTGAGAAGCGACGGCCAGTGGCCAACGCTCTGGCCAGCACAGGAGAGTGCATCCTCACCTTCATCCTCACCCCATCCTTCCAGTTCATGGTAGATCAGTATTCCTGGAGGGGAGCGATGCTGATCCTGGGAGCTCTGCAGCTCAACTTGTGTTTGTGTGGAGCTCTTCTGAGACCCCTCAACAGACTCGTTCCTCCTAAAGAGCTTGAGGAGAAAGAGCACGAGCTGGAGCTGTTATCTCAACCTCACATAGACTCTAGAAGTTCAAATAATAGGTCAGACTCAAAAAAATCGGATGCACTGAAGGTCAAAATCATTCGTTACGTGGACTACACTCTTATCGCTAATGCTCGCTTCATGGTCTACTCAATGTTTGGTGTCTTCGCTGCTCTCGGCTTCTTCGCTCCATCTCTCTTTCTGGTTCCGTACGCCCGCAGTCAAGGAGTGGAGGAGTACCAGGCGGCCGCTCTCATGTCCATCTCTGCGGTGCTGGACCTGTTAGGCAGGGTGTTATTTGGGTGGGTGGCTAATCTGCGGCTGGTCAAGACAGTCCATCAGCTGATCGTCACAGTGATTCTGTTGGGCATTGTTCTGCTGCTCGGCCCTCTTGCAACCACATTCACCCAGCTAGCGCTGTTCAGTGCGGGTTATGGACTGGTGTTCGGAGCGACTGTGGCCATTCACATCACAGTACTCGCGGAGGTGGTGGGGGTGGAGAGGCTGGGAAGTGCTCTGGGCTTCTTCATGCTCATCCGCAGCAGTGGTGGCCTCCTTGGACCACCTTTGGCAGGTGAGATGTTTAAGAGAAATTTGGTCACTAGTGACTATCCTAAGCAGTGACATCAAAATTATTATGTTATATTTTATATTTATTTATTTGTTGAGGGTGTAATTTAGATAAATCACTAATAATATTATTATACAATAAGCAGCGACATCAAAATTATTATATTATATTTGTGATTTATTTATATGTTGAGTGTGTAATTTAAATAAATCAATAATATAATATAATATAATATAATTTGTTGAGTATAATATATAACATAATATTATATAATGTATATAACATAATATTATTAATTAATAATATTATGTTATATACATTATATAATATTATGTTATATATTACACTCCACAAATTATATTATATTATATTACATGTTATAATTTATAAAATGTATAAATTGTAATCATTATTATATTATATTATATTATATTATATTATATTATTGATTTATTTAAATTACAAACTCAACAAATAAATAAATCACAAATATAATATAATAATGTTGATGTTGCTGCTTATTGTATAATTACACACTTAATAAATAAATTGATTTGTTCCTTTATTTATTTGTTTGTGTGTAATTATGAACTCTACATAGTTTAACATGCAATATTGTTACAAATAGCTTGCTGAAGTTACTCTAGTCTGACATTGTACAGTAACAATATGTAAAGCTCTTTATCAGTCATCCTAATGCATACCCTTTCCTCATCATATTTCTTTGATGAGGTTTCTCATTAATGCCAGACAGGACTCAATTTACAGTAATACTATGCTATCGTCCCATACAGCATTGCCTATCAGAGAAATGCACTGGGCTATTGTGTTAATTTCATGGATTATTGGTCACTGCATAAATGGCTTTTCCTGTTTCAATAGCAGGCCACGCTTTGACTGCCCTTACCAAATTTAAACCATTTATTTGGTTTCATTGGCTGTAATTTTCCTGTGCCCTCTGCTCAGTACGTATAACACATCACAAACGGTAGTGTGATAATACATCAGCGGAGCTCTGCACAAGTGGCCAATAAATCAACAAACAAACAACCAGCCAAGAACAACAATGTATATAATAGCTGTAATTGATTGCTAGACTATAAGCTCTGATAGGGAAACTTCAAATAGATAGTTCTGTAATGTTGAAATAATGACATTTTGCTCTTACCTAACACTTTTTCTCTTGAAAACATCTGCCAAAACATGGCACAAGTTGGAAGAGTTTTCACCCCAAGCAGCCAAAAACCTCTCCCACACCAGAGGCAGTTCAACACTAAATCATCCAGAAAAACCTCATCTGTCCATTTAAAGGCATTGACTGCCAAAACTACGTCTATATCTGTATTCTGAAAGACTAATGTACTTAATATGAATCTCTTGGGGGTTTAGTCCGTTAAATAGAGCACAGATTGATGTTTGGGAGGAGAGGAGCGCCTTTATTTTAGGCACTACAGGTTAAGAGTGTAGTCTGCTGGGCTTCATAGCCGGTGGTGTAATTACACCATAAATTAGCTCTGCAGCAGTTTTTCTCAGTGAGTTTTAATCGGGTTGGAAAACTCCTTTACTGTGGCATTATAAAAGACATCTCAAATAATCATTGCGTCACTGACTTCACAGGCGCTCTATTCCTCTGTGCTTTAATTGATTGATCATTTAAAATAAATGTATCAGGGAAATGTGCATTCAGAAAGCAGCTTGGCCCGAAAACGTGAGGTGGGAAGATGCACGAACAACTGGGGGCTAATTAGTGGTGCTTGGGCAAGCGTCACTGTTATGCACGCGCAATCATCCAGAACATCCTATTGCAACTGCATACAAATGCCCTTGCAAGCAACACCCAAGAATTGTTTCAGCAAGTTTTGCATGCAATCAGCACACTTTCATTTTGCTCAGATAATGTCAATATTTTTATTTTAATTGCAAGCTAATAAAATTGTCATAATTTTAAATACTACTTACCATAGTTTATAACTGTATAGAAAATCTGACCACATAAGAGATTTGTGGTTTGTGGTTTTATTTTAGAGATTTGTCAATTAATAGTTTACCTAAAAATAAAATTTTGCTGACACTTTGCTCACCCTCAGGCCATCCAAGATGTAGATGAGTTTTGGAGAAATTCAGCATTACATCAGTTGCTCACCAATGGATCCTCTGCAGTGAATGGGTGCCGTCAGAATGAAAGTTAAAACAGCTGATAATAACATCACAATAATCCACAAGTGATCCACATGATGCCTGTCCATCAATTAATATCTTGTGCAGTGAAAATATGCGTGTTTGTAAGAAACAAATCCATCATTAAGGCATTTTAACTTTAAACCGTCACATCTGACCAAAACATAATGCTCCTCCAGTGAAAAAGTCTTTCCCATGTTGTCCTCTCACTTCAAAATCTACCAACATACTTGTTTAATACTGTCTTGGGCTGTTTTTGCTTGTAAACAGAGCTTGATCTGTGCATATTTCTCTCCAGATTCAGACACAATGACGTTTTCACTGGAGAAAGCAATATTATGAATAGAGCAACATTTTGAAGTTAAAAACGTCTTAATGATGGATGTTTATTACAAACACTCAGCTTTTCACTTCACAAGACATTAACTGATGGACTGGAGTTGTGTGGATTACTTGTAGATTATTGTGATGTTTTTATCAGCTGTTTGAACTGTCAATTCTGCCGGCACCCATTCACTACAGAGGATCCATTGGTGAGCAACTGATGTAATGCTGAATTTCTCCAAAACTCATCTACATCTTGGATGGCCTGAGGGTCAGTAAATATTCAGCAAATGTTGAACTATTGTTTTAAGAGAAAATTCCATTTCAAACTTAATTGACCGTTATTAAATATTTTCTACTGTTTCTACAGGAATCTTCATAGACAAAATGAGTGACTATGGAACTGGTTTTCTGATGGCGGGCGTGGCTCTTCTCGTCTCCGCCCTCTTTCTGCTTGTGTTACAGCAGATGAACAAAAAAGGGACGGGAAAGGGTAAAGACGTCAACTTGGAGAACGGGAAAGGACATGAGGATCTGAAACACAGAAATTTCAATTTCAGAAAAAGTTAGTGAAGAGGAGGAGGCTCTAACATAATGTGTAATGTTTCACCACAAATGCAGTCATGTAAGCAGAGATTATAATTAGAGATGACTGTCAAAAGTGAAAGGTGTAAACTGACAACATGTCCTCATGCTGCTGACATGCACTGTCTGTCCATTCCTGACGGAAACTCTAGTGAACAGACATTTCCCACCTAAATGAAGCATTTGATGGATTCTGGGAAGTCTTCTTAGTGTAGTCCTACAGTGATGCCATTACAAGCAATATTTCATCAGATCTATTGCTCTGGAAAATGGGCAGTGACTTAATGGACTAATGGAGCTCACTCAGTTTAGCTACAGCCAAAGATGATCACATGCAGTCAAGAACAATATCTGCTGCAATTTCTTGTATGACATTAAGAATGTATTTTAGTCTGTCTGTCCAAAATTACACAAATTTAGGTTTGAAACATTACTTTTTTGTTTGTTTTTTCAAAGTGCCATCCCCAGGTCTGGATGTCATCTAAATCCCACAGTTCTGAAAACATTCTCATTTATCGCCCTCTAAAGGTGAGAAAAGGGAAATGCAGGATGGATGGCTACAGTGAAACTGTTCTAAATTCACTTTTTCCTCATTATTTATTTTATACATACTATAAATAAGCTATGTTTTTTTTATGTATAAACTCATATTTGATTAAAACAGCCTAATGAACGCTGTTTATTTTACATGGAGCAACTGTCACATCAGTCAGTGCAACATAAAAGTTACGGAGTGCACATTTAAGAGAGCATAAATCAAGAAAAAGGTATTAAAGTGCATTTTGTTTGCAATAAAAAAAATCTTACAATAGCTTGATCTTAGATCTGTGGGAGATAAATGTCTTTCTGAAGGCATAGACTAAAAACACAGGCACATCCTGCTGAAGAAAACCACACGATAGATAGTAGTGTCTAGATCTTTCCTGTTTACACTGTGTGATGAAACGGTAACCGTTCAAAGCCAAACTATCTTTATAAGATATCAAAGCATATTTCTCATCTCTGGTCTCTTCACAATAATCTGTTCCCAACATCTGCACTTTGATGTGTTTTATGCATGCTGGTCTGTGTGTATCACAGATAAATGGCTTTTCAAACTGGAAAATAAAATGAAAATAACAGAAATAAAATTCAATATGCTTGTTAGTTCCCAAGAATCTGAGAAAGCAAACATTATGCTAGACAATAAGAGCCTTCAATGGCATACAAATGAAAAATTCTTCACATTTTAGTCTGTTCACAAGCACAGTTTTGACTTTCCCTTATATTATCTTTTAACTTGTTGTCCTTTACTTTAACATGTAAGTATTGACAGTAAACTAAACACAAATACATGCATACAAGGAAAACAGGCCATCACAGTATCAAGTTTTTAGTGTTATTTATATATAGTATTTATTAATATTTTGTTTAGTAATTTTTATAATGCGCTTTTGCCATTTTTTTTGTTTTAAGTTTTCATATTTTTACTTAGCTTCAATTTATTTTTATTTCAATTTGAGGAATTTTTGTATTTTAAATTCACTTTATTTTTATTTAGTTTCATTTCTAATTTTCTATATATAAATAAATATTTTTTTCCAGTTTCTTTTGGATTTTTAGTAGTTTAGTTTTAGTTAACAGATCTTATAATTTTATATTTTATTATTATTATTTTATGTTTGTCTTTTTTATGTAATTTTATTATAATTGACATTTTACTGTAAAATAAGTTATAATTTCAAGCAGAAACTCAACATACGCCGTTACATATAGTTTTTGACACTTGATTCCATCAGTAAATCCCAAAGAGAAAACATGCTGTAATGAGAGAAAATAGGACTCGCGCTGTTTTCTTCTGACCTGAGCCATCCTTTCTTTTAAACACGGTTGAGGCGATGAGTCCTTTGAAGTCTGTAATTGGAAACAGTTGATGGAGTTAAGTGGAATAACGTATCCCAGATCCGTTTCTCCAGCCATATCTCCCTCCACCCGTAAAACCGGGCCTCTTAACTTTGACCTTGGTGTAGTCCAGGTTAGGCAGTAAGCCCAGAAACAGACAGTCAGAATGATGCATGATGGGAACATTCAGTGAAGCCTCAAGATGAAAACTAAATTAGACTCAATCTAATAATAAAGACAAAAGGAAAACTACCTAAGAAATTGAACAGAAATGACAACAAATTGGAAATGTTTCTCTCTAAACAGAAAATACAAAGTGGCAGAACACCTGATTAGTGTTACCAGCTCTTTGAAAACTAGGAAACTATAATAGGAACAGACCATGTACAGACTCAGCAAACATAACCTTTCAGTAGTGACAGGCAAACACAGACAGACCTAAGCTGTCTTTCCCAAAAGCATCGTAACCAATTTTTTCTTCAATCTACTTACAATACTTTTAGGAAATGTAGCCCTGGATATTATTGCACCAGAAAGGACAGGCTGTGCTCTTTCTACGCAGACAATGAGGTAAAAACTTGTAAACCTCATTAGGTAACAAAATATCGAACCAAATAAAAAGGTCCGATAACCAAATAAAAAGAATTTATCTGGTTCCAATAAGGTTTTAGTAGATTTAGAAATTTTGTATTCTTTTTTGGGCAAATTATTCCTTTAAGTGTAGCTTTTGAGGCCACCATGTCTATTATTCATCCTTATGGCCATTTAACCTTCAGCGTTTGATGTTTCATAAAAAGTTATATCAGTGGGATATGTATTATGAATGAAAAAGATGCACTATGCAGTGAGGCCAGACAAAGGAGACATACTGCCTACAGAGAGAGTGAACTTCAAAGCAGTGAGGAATCAAAGTTAGAGAAGAAAAATCTGGAAAGCTGGAGGGATTTCTGGATAAAACCCAAGAGGTGTAGTTCTTCTCCTTTACCTCTCTCTCACTCTCTTTCTCTCATTTTCTGCCCTGTTTTGGGTGGACCTAATGGGGTCAAATGAGAGGGGCTGTCCTGAACAGGATTGATAGGAACAGCTGTGGATAGGTTGGTATGAACCTATGAGAACTGATACAGACTGTTGTGGCTCTAATACACTCTTAAAATTAAAGGTGTTTTAAAGGTTCTTCACAGCAATGCCATGGAAGAACCATTTTTGGTTCCACAAAGAACCATTCAGTCAAAGGGTATTTAAAGAACCATCTCTTTCTTACCTTTTTATAATCTGAAGAACCTTCTTTCGCATTGTTTCGCAAGTTCTTCTATGGCATTGTGAAGCACCTTTATTTTTAAGAGTGTATGGAAATTCAATTTTTGGTGTATTTGAGAAAATATTTACCTGCAGGAAAATTAGTATAAATTTGCTAGAATTGGTTAAAAGTTTCAGAAAGTTGTGTAACATTCAAGTGCCTGACAACACACACTCTCAAGCCCACATACATGCACCCACATGCAAGAATCAAAGGTATTTGTTTCAAAGGAAGAGACATAAAAAGAGGGAATGGAACTTTATGCACATCATAGCATTTTTTCTTGCGAATTTATTGTCTTTCTTTCCGGAGCACAGAAATGTCAGGCCCCTATATTCTTTTGTCCTCACATAAATCAAGAAAGCTTATTTCCACAATACACCAATCATGTTGTACAGATAATAAAAGGCAACAACCTCACAAACATTGGCAATTTTCAGGACGAGCAACATTAGAGCACAGAAACATGTTCAGGTTTTTCTCACACATCAGACTGAATTTTACGGTCACATGGTTCACGCTTACTCAACAGATGCAGAGAAATGTCTACATAATCATTATAAAAGTGTTCATTTCATTGTGAGGCTGTGTTCCTGGTCTGATCTTTGCAGATCATAGCTTCAGTAGGTTGAAGACTGATTGTTTCAGAGCTCCACAAAAATCATAAAAATCATAGATCAAAGGAATCAGAGCAGCTGCGCATCAGATGACACATGTGCATTCACTTCATTTATTGCAGTCCTGCCATACAGGTGTTTTTATGCAGATTTTTCACAAGCCATTCTTTCTTACATTTGTTATTAATTTGTCCTCAAGTTTTATGAATTTGAGTAGGAAAAAAAAAAACAGGACTGTGTACTGAGTAATTACAAATGCAATATTTGGCCTACAAAATTTTGGCATGCTGTTTAGTGTTTAGCTTTTAGTGTTTATGTAGGCTATTTGATTGTTACATTATATGAATGCATTTAAAATGGAAGTTAAAATGTAGTAATTCAGTAGCAATATAGCTTAAAGGGATAGTTCACCCCAAAATGAAAATTCTGTCATTAATTTCTCATCCTCATGCCGTTTCAAACATGCAAGACCTTTGTTCATCTTCATCAACAGCACCACACGCATGCGTTGCAGTACTCTCATAAAAACTGTGTTGAATACTGACATAGTTAAGAAGAAATTGTTGAATGAAGTTGTTATTTTTGTCGTCTTTGCACACAAAAAGTATTCTCGTAGCTTCATAAAATTACAGTTGAACCACTTACTACCTTTCTGGGCCTTGAACATGTCAGTTGCTTTGCTGGCAGGGTCAGAAAGCTCTCAGTTTTCATCCAAAATATCTTAATCTGTGTTGTAAATGAAAAAAAAAAACAGGACTGTGTACTGAGTAATTACAAATGCAATATTTGGCCTACAAAATTTTGGCATGCTGTTTAGTGTTTAGCTTTTAGTGTTTATGTAGGCTATTTGATTGTTACATTATATGAATGCATTTAAAATGGAAGTTAAAATGTAGTAATTCAGTAGCAATATAGCTTAAAGGGATAGTTCACCCCAAAATGAAAATTCTGTCATTAATTTCTCATCCTCATGCCGTTTCAAACATGCAAGACCTTTGTTCATCTTCATCAACAGCACCACACGCATACGTTGCAGTACTCTCATAAAAACTGTGTTGAATACTGACATAGTTAAGAAGAAATTGTTGAATGAAGTTATTATTTTTGTCGTCTTTGCACACAAAAAGTATTCTCATAGCTTCATAAAATTACAGTTGAACCACTTACTGAACCTTTCTGGGCCTTGAACATGTCAGTTGCTTTGCTGGCAGGGTCAGAAAGCTCTCAGTTTTCATCCAAAATATCTTAATCTGTGTTGTAAATGAATGAAGGTCATACAGGTTTAGAATGACATTAGGGTAAGTAATGACAGAATTTTCATTTTTTTGGGGTTAACTAACTTCTTTTAACTAACAAAAACAGTTTGAAAGAATTAATAAATAGGGCAAAAAATACACTTGAAACAGTTAACCCTGGGTCATTCTAAACTGTGCCAGTGATTGGAGAATCCAGCATGTGTTTACATAACGGCTAGCCTTGCACATCAAAACTGTACTATCAAGATTTTCCTGAATGGACTTTTCAGTGGACTATAAAGGTAAGACCACTCCAATTTACGCGTTTTCCGTCAACATTTGACATTTTTCCCCTCAAACGCTGAAAAGACTGTTCATACAAAGTGCGGTGTTTCTGTGACTTTCCAAAGCACGTGAATATGAGGCTGGCGATTGGCTGTATGTTAGCAACAACAATCGAACACCGCAAACTTAAAAATCGCAAGAAATAGTCCAAATTGTGAGATTAAAGGCTGCAATTACCTCTTTTAACAAGCTTCCAGTAGGCCTAACTTACCTTTACCCGCGGGGTTAAATTTAGAACGACTATAACCTAGGCTTATGCACAGTGTGAAAAGCCCTAAACACTGCACATTTCTGCTGTTAAACCTTCCAGAACATTGCCTCATAAACTTCCAATGCAAATCTGTACACACCATTTTGGATGTTTTACAAGTCAAAATTACTGCTTTGTAAGAAATGTACATTCTGTAAATTGCATAAATACCTGACTATATTAATATAACTTAACTTGTAACTGTTGCATTCATTTTAATAGAAAACATAAATCTGAAATATGAGATAAACAGACACATGTTGTGATACTATTATTTTATTTGTTATTTTTTTTAATAAATAGATATATTTACCTGTGGGATATAATGAAATTTCCTGAATCATTTTTTTCCCAGTATTTCGTCTAAACCCTGAAATCTTCACAGGTGTCTTCATCCAGTAAAAGTAGTGGTGTTAAAGGTTAAAATGGACTTGGCATTCCTTCGTTTTTTTCAGCCCCTGCAGCAGGGGTACAGAAGGGTAAAGAGAGTGTGGGGCTGGAGACGGGATGTCCTACTTTAGGAGGGAATGTGAATTTTCAAAGACTAGTGGCCCCTTCCTCAGAATTCACCACATGCTTTCATTCTTTCTGCTTGTTCACCCGGTCTGTTTTATCCCATGCAAATGAGCACACAAACTCCCAGATTGCAGGGAAACCTCAGGATAATTGTGCTAGGAATAACTTTTTTCTTAAGACACAAGCAAATATGTGAAATATGAGATTTTCTACTGTTCCTTTTTTGCATATAGGCCTACTTCACAGATGTATTTTCCAGATGAAGACACAAGTTTGTAAAAAAAATTACTTGATAAATATGCCTGGCCAAAGGAAGTGTAAGAAAATCTCATTCCCCTAACTTTGTCTTTTCGTCCTCCTCTTTCCCTCCCTCTCTTCTCATTCCCTCCCTCCCTCTCTCAGAGTAACCATGTGCTTTTCGTGTCAGTAGACACATTTAACCCTCTCCTCAGAATAACCGATGCATAGACAGCTGTCTCTTTTTCGCTTTCTTTTTCTTTGGCTTCTTCTCCTCTCACTTCTCCTTTTGTAGTGTTCTTTATGTGTTTTTTCTGCAGCTTTTGTCCTCTTTATGGCTCTGGAAACTCTCCTGTAGAGGAATTTATGTAACTGCAACAGGACAGAGACACCTTAAGCACATACATGCTGGAGGAAGCCACAGCATAAGCACCTCCAACGGGAACAACTTCAAAAGTCTGAGGATTGCTGGGAGAGAAGAAGAAGGACAGTCAGGCTGAAAAAGCGGGACCATGCCGGGCTGTCAGATCCGGACAGGGTTTGTGCCGGTTCTGCTGGTCTGTTTCTTTCTGCTGTCGGCATCTGGTTCAGGGAATGCACGCATGATCAGGAAGAGGGGACTCAACCAGAAGGTAAGGATTCAATGCGTGTGTGTGTGTGTGTGTGTGTGTGTGCGTGCATGCGCGTGTGTATGTGTGCGTGAGTGTGAGTGTGCGTGTGTGTATGTGTGTGTGAGTGTGAGTGTGTGTGTGCATGGGTGTGTGTGTGAGTGTGCGTGTTGGACACCAGAGGCCTCTTAGGCTCAGCAAGGCTGCATTTATTTGATAAGCGGTCACTTTCTTGAAATGAAAATCTATTTCTGAGTGGAAGAAATATAGACAAAAGATTGTAGTTTGTACCATTTTTTTATATTTTTGAAAGCAGCCTTTTATGCTCACCAAGGCTGCATTTATTTGATCAAAAATAAAGTATAATAGTAATAGTGAAATATTTTTACAATTTAAAATAACTATTTTTTTCAACAATTTTCATCATCATTTCTCCAGTCTTCAGTGTCACATGATTCTTCTGAAATCATTTTAATATGCTGATTTGCTGCTCAAGAAACATTCATTTTTATTATCAGTCTGGTTTTGCTGCTTAAAAATGTTGATGAAACTATGATATACTTTTCTTTAGGATTCATTAATGAATAGAAAGTTCAAAATAACAGCATTTATTTAAAATATAAATCTTTTTTACTACAGTTTATCAATTGATCAATTTAATGCATGTTTGTTCATTTGTTTTGTTTTTTAAAACATTGAATTGTAGTGTATAGTATTATTTTTGAATTGTATACTACTATGGTAGCATGTCATGCCATATTCGTGTACTATAATATTTTGATCATGGTACTTCAAAGAATACCACTGCATTACCATGGTGCCATTTCACATGTTTTTTTTTTTATATACATTTTCAAGATTTTATTTTCAGATTACCATAAACTGCAAATATGCTATAAAAAGAATGTAGCATGCAGATATGCACTGTAATATGACATCTGATGTACACTTGAGCAGGAAAATGGTCATACCATGGCACTCTTTGGCCCTTTGTTGTTAGTGAAGGCAGTGTTGGCAGAGGTTGGCATCTGTGAGCCTTTAAGAGTTTTTAGGTCCATTATACAGTGAAAAAAACATAATGAATACACTGTGTCTCTGTGACTCCAGTGGAGTTGCTGTGGTTACGGTTGAATACATGAATGAATGTATGTAGTGTGTGTGTGTGCGCGCAACAGAGGCAGATGGATTTCAGGCGGGAAGTTTCTGGGCCTCTGCTCATTAGTCCTGATAAGCGTAGGATTAATTGATAACAATTAACAAGGGATGGCAAGATGGAATTTGCACCGGATGGATATCCCTTCCCAACTGACTGAATTTCAGCGTCATTCTGATTACGGCTCTACTACGGAATTCGAGATTGACAAGATTTACAAACAAATCCATTCACATGTCACAGGAAATGGACCGTGCCCAAAGTAACCTCTCTGTTACATTATCATATGTACATCTTACTGGTTTTGTCCTTAAAAGTCCTTTCATACTCATTTTCAATTGATTCATTTATCTTTCCGTTTGACATTATGACAAGTAACATCTGCTTCCTTCCCTAGCTGTCCTCTCTTTTTCACTCTCTCTTTCTGCAGAGTCATTGGTGTGAACTGATGATGCATGGATAGACACACAGTACAGTGCTGTTATAGCAATAAATCATAATTAGGTTCACATTGAGGGTAATTGAGATCATTCCACTGATGTGACCTCTCTAAGAAAAACAGCAATAACAGGGGTCAGAGAAGTAGGTGAGCTGTGCCTCACTTTCAGGGTTTTGTAACAGTATTGTTGTGGGAGAGAGAAAGTGGGTTTGAGCCAGCATTCTGCTGAGCTGGATTTTCTGGGTGGGCCTGAAGCGGTCCAAAAGCCATCCCGGTCCAACTGGCTCCCAGCTCACTCACTCGGGATTGCGAACCAAGGACTGTTTATCCTTTCAAAGCATTTGTGTTTGGTAAAAATGCTTGTGGCTGAGCATTTCAGGCTTTCAGGAATACCTCAGAATCACAGTGTAATCAATCCATGAGGGTTTGCGTTGCTAAAGTACAAAGGTATGGTTATAAAGCTAAATATTTCTCATTGATCTGTGTAAAGATAGCTTTTCGTCACAAAAAGCTTTTTTTTCTGCAGAACAAGTAAAGGCATGTGAGGGGTCATCTCAGCTCGGCTGTACCCTCACAGCCCCATCAATCTCTGAGCATAGTGATGACTAACAGGCCAAGGGAGAACGCTTTAAAAGCTGACAGAGATGATGACAGATGTTTTAGAGCTACTTGTCTAAAACCTCGTGAGGTGATGTGAAGTGTCTGTCATCCTCTTTCAGGTTGTATTTGCTCATAGACTGCAGTATCTGCTTTCATGGCAGGTTATTTCAATCTGGATAGTGTTAATGTTTTGAACCATAAAGAACTTTTGTAAGATATTAAACATTAACTTGCAGCTTAAATGATTCAATTAACGCCCTGGAACTTATGAGAAACATCTCATCATTCTGTGTTAATAACAATCTAAATTATGGTGACATTAAATAGTACAAAAATGCATTGAATGTCTAACATAAATAGAACAGATAAGAATAGCCCACATTTTTTCAAGAAATGCATTACAGTTTAAAAGTTAGGTTTTTAAAAATATATCAAAAAAGAAAACTGTTATTTTAAATTATAATAATATTTCACAAACAAATAAATGCTGCCTTGGTGAACAAGCGACTTCTTTCAAAAACATAAAATGATTTGAATGATAATAAATAACTAATAAAACTGCAAAACCAATCAATCAACCAATGATTGATTGAATGAAAAGTACAAACCACAACTGTGTTTATAACTGAGTAAAATCATGAACAGCACAGCAGCATTAACTATTTTGTTACGAAAAGACACAGAGATTTTAAATTAATCTGTGAATCGTTTATTTGATCAACAAATTGTTTATTTAAATGAACCATACAAACTGATTCACTAAAATGATTCAAACCTACTTATGGGACAGACAGGGCAGATGGGGAGAGTTCAACTCAGGTGTTATAAAAAATGACCAAAAGTACAATTTGTCACCAAAAGTTACAGTATAAGTTATTAGGGAAGCATTTGACTGTTGTGGTGTTTCAACTCTAGCTAATTTCCAACATGAGATCAGGCTAAAGCAGTTGAAAAGCGGTCATGTGTTCTGTTGCAGAGAGAGTTCAACAGTAATCCCAGTCAGCTGAGGAGAACATGTTTAACCACACCTAGAAATAGTAGAAAAACATTGCTTTTGTAATGTTTAGATAAAATACATGAACATTTCATTAAGGACTTATTTCTAAAGTCTACCTATGGTATGTTCAAAAAAAATCTAAAATCTACACCTATCCGATTGACACTACATGATGCATATTACAATTAATTTAAGGGGAAGGAAAGTAATGTTTCTAATGAGTGCATGGCAGCTAACCTCATGGCATGTCAATATTAAGGTAGTCCAAAACAAAGGGTCTGCTACATTTCCTCAAAACCTTTAGGGATTACCGTAATTTATCAGGGTTTATCAGGAAAAGAGGTGAAACACTGAAACGAGTGACCTTCACCCTGCCCCTCATCAAGCTTTCTGTTCCCATCTTCAGATCTGTCAATCATCTACAGGCCCTGTCCTACATACTCCACTCAGTTCAGACTGAGCCAAGCCACCGAAGCACCTAAGAAGCTGTAAAATACCCAGAACTCGGCAGGAAATTAACGTGCAGACGTCTAGACTTAAATCACAGCTCACTGGTGGAACTTGGAGAGAGAGAGGGGAAAGGGGGCTATTTAGTTTTCCTCTCGTAATTATCTTAATGATTGCTTGGAAGACCACACTACAGAGTGCTAAGTATGTCAACATGTATTTAGTTCAAATCTTATTGTCCATACTAATAGGGACCTCAAGTCAGTGAACCTGAAGGATGTAGAGCAGTAACAGGGTGGAGCATTTAAATGGGAAATGAAGGATATTTTGTGGCTCCTTGGAGGGTGAGGGAGTGTAATTTTGCAGTGCATAACCCAGGCTGCTCTTAGTTAAATGTGCAGGCATTTTTCACCAAACATGAAAGAAAAAAATGAGTAAAATCTAGTATATTTTGGGTCCACACTCTGTATAGAAGAAACACAGTAAAAGCAGCATCAAACAAAGTTCCTGTGCTGTAGCCTGATCAAATCAGAGGACTGGAACAAACTGTTATATAAGCTACTGACATCTTCTATGCAGGAACAGAGGATCTAGGAGAGATAAGCAGAAAGTCATATACAGCGCAGCATCAGGGGACCTATTCCAGACAGGAAGAGTACACTACCACTTCCTCTTTGCCTCATCCAGAGACACTTGGGAAAATATCATCTGTACGTTAGATAAGCAAAGGCAGACTGATCTTAACAGTCATACAACTGATATTTTTATTGTCAGCACTGGTAAAACAGCATGCTGAATTACTTTCATGTTGATGGCAGTCATAAATCATAAAATATTGATCTAAACTTCATGAGTTGCAGACCCAAGTCTGACAGGCCATTGCAGTTATGCAACAGATACGTTCATAATCAAAGAAAGACAAGGTTTATATATATGTGACCATGGACCACAAAACCAGTCATAAGGGTAAATTTTTTAAAATACATCATATGGAAGCTGAATGAATAAGCTTTCCATTGATGTATGGTTTGTTAGAATAGGCCACTATTTGGCAGAGATACAACTATTTGAAAATCTGGAATCTGAGGGTGCAAAAAAAAAAAAGTCTAAATATTGAGAAAATCGCCTTTAAAGTTGACCAAATTAAGTCCTTAGCAATGCATATTACTAATCAAAAATTAAGTTTTGATATATTTATGGTAGGAAATTTACTTTACTTAATATCCTAATGATTTTTGGCATTGATCAAAAATCGATCATTTTGACTCATACAATGTATTGTTAGCTATTGCTACAAACGTACCCATGCTATATGACTGGTTTTGTGCTTCAGGGTCACATATTGTATTTAATTGCACATAAACATTTATTTCATATACATTACTGTTTAAATGTTTGGGGTCAATAAGATTTTTTTGAAAGAAATTAATACAGTTATTGATCAAAACTGAGATTAAGACTTACATTACAAAAAAACATTTCTAATAAATGGCTAAATGCATTACTGTGAATGTAAGCTGTTTTCGAAACTGATAATAATAAATGTTTCTCAAGCAGCAAATCGGCATATAACAGTGATTTCTGAAGGATCATGTGACATTATAGACTGGAGTAATGAAGCTTTTCCATCACAGAAATAAATTACATTTTAAAATATATTAAAATAGAAAAAAATAGTTATTTTGAATTGTAATAATATTTCACAATATTACTGTTCTTTTCTGTATTTTTGATCAAATAAATGCAGCCTTTGTGTGAGCAAAAGAGACATTTCAAAAATCGTACTAACTTTTGGTAAGACTTGTAGTAACGTTTTAGTAGCGTAAATATTAAATGATAACTGTATTTAATTTTTCTTGTACTCTTTAAAAAGACAATAAAATTGAATCTAAACTAATTGCATAAACAACCACAATGGGCTTATGCCAGACATTTGCTTTTATTTTAACAGTTTGTTTGAAAGCAAAGCTCCAGACTTGCCAAGTGAACATGCTGAGTTTTTAAGATGCATGCAGTTCACAAACCCATAATTTAATTAGTAAACAAAATCACAGCCACATTTCGACTTGGGCCCTATAATAAAAGGCTCTGTGGAGAAGAATGAAGTGCTGAATTCCAGCTGATGCGTGTCTGCATTCTAAACAGCTCTGGTCTGGAGTTTCAACAGCAGTTTAGTATACACTTGGCCAGGGTAGCAAGAGAACTGATGAGCTTAAGTAGTGTTGAACTGTAAAAAGAAAAGCAAGAGCAAGAGAAAGGAGGAGGTCTCTTAGAACAAAATGCACCCCTAAACAGTACCTCTGGTGCAAACTGAAACCTGGCTCAGGCAGATCTATGAGCCCACTGAAGAACCCATGGGAGGAAGAAAACTTTAGTAGAAAGGCCCAGACTTGGATGAAAAGCCTTTTTTTCTAACCCAGCATCTCTGTGAGAGGTATTATGTTCCTGAACAGTGTATCCGTTATATTAACAGTGCTAAATCAGAGAAAACAGTGTCACAGGCTTTTATAGATGCAAAATGTCATCCATAGGAACTGTATATCAGACAGATCTTCCAACTTGAAACCAATGTACTTGATTAGGCTGATTGTTTTGTTCAAGCTTTTTTTGTTTGTTTTTGTTTTCTTAGTGGAAGCTTTAAAATAATATACATACACACACCAGTGGACAAATTTTGGAATAATTAAGATTTTTAAATGTTTTTTCTTATGCTTACCAAGGCTGCAATTTTTTTTAATCAAAAACACAGTAAGACAGTAATATTGTGAAATATTATTACAATTTATAATAAGTTTCTTCTGTTTGAATATATTTTAAAATTACATTTATTCCTGTGATGGCAAAGTAAATTTTCAGCAGCCATTTCTCCAGTCTTCAGGGTCACATGATCCTTCAGAAATCATTCTAATATGCTGATTTGGTGCTTAATTATTAATAAAAGTTCTTATTATTGTCAAAGTTGAAAACCATTTTTGCTAGAATGTTAAAGTGAAACCCATGATATGGATGAATAGAAAGTTAATTAAACAGCATTAATTTGATATATATTTTTTTGTGTGTAACAATATTAATGTGCTTTCTGTCACTTTTGATAAATTTAATGCATCCTCGCTGAATAAAATTATAATAATAAAAAAATCATTCTTACCCAAACTATAGTATATCATGTGTTCCATCAATATATTAAGCAGCAAAACTGTTTTCAAATAAGAAATTTCTTGAGCACCAAATCAGCGTATTAGAATGATTTCTGAAGCATTATGTGACACCGAAGACTGGAGTAATGATGCTGAAAATTCAGCTTTGCCATCAATAATTAACATTTTAAATGTATGTTCAGAAAGTAAGTTATTTTAAATTGTAATAATTTGTCACAATATTACTCTTTTTTTCAAAAACATAAAAAAATCATGATAATATTTCCTTACATATATTGTCTATCAATCTCTCAGGACTATGAGTACCCTAACCATCCTCAGACCGCTCAGCACCAGAAGAACGACCGCTGTCCTCCGCCACCGCAGATGCTGCCCGAGCGAGCCTGTGAGGTGCCGGGCTGCCGGTCCGATTCTGAGTGTGAGAGACACAAGCGGTGCTGTTACAACGGCTGCATCTACGCCTGCCTGGAAGTCAGTGCAACCTCCACCCGTGAGAAAACACACCATGATCTGCTCCGAAATCAATATAAGCAACAGACACACATATCCGCTTTAGCATTACTACAAGGCATAGTGCTAATGGATTTTAAAATGAATTGATCCTCTCGTGAGGTGTGAGTTACTGAGCTGGATGTGTATACAGTGAATCATGAGTACATTTAGCCATACTGATATTGTGTATTGATTTCTTATTGCTCAGTGCTGGACTGGTTGGTGCAGCCCAAGCCGCGGTGGTTAGGAGGGAATGGCTGGCTTTTAGATGGACCAGAAGAAGTTCTGCAGGGTGGGTATCGATGAATCAGTGATTGAATACTGACTCACCATTAAATGTTGTTTGGAGCAACATTAATAACCCTATAGACCTTAGTCACGGTAGATGCCATATTGACTTTTCCACAAATGAAAACAAGGCTTTGAGGGATAGGCTTACAGTATTTACAATGGTATGTGCTGTATAAAAGTCCTAGATCACATGGAACAGCTTTCGAAGCTGTTTTCTGGAGTTTTGTGTACTGAAAGTCTTCAATACAGTTAATATAATTGGTATGTTCATTCCATTGAACAGACTGTACTTCTATCCCTCACAGTGTTGTTTTCATTCAACATGGAGCTACCCCAACTACCCTGAGGCTTATTCATATCCACAAAAACAAGCAATTATCTTGAAATTATTATACATTTAATCTCTACAGTCAGCAGTCTAAATTAGCACTGAGGATGTACATATAGGTAGCATTGGCACGCTGACACTTCATGACAATGCTGATTGGCTTATGGCACCACAAGAAGGCGCACAGTCCCAGCCAGTGTTGCCAATTTAGCTACTTTGTAGCTAGATTTAGCGACTTCCCCGCCCCTTTTGAGACTTTTTTCAAAAGTTTAGGGACAAATATAGCAACTTCTTGGACAAACCTTATCTAAGTTCTCATCTTGCCCACTGATCTCCCCAGGCTCTTCATTAGCAACTATGCTGCCAGGTTTGCCTGGTTAGCATGGTCTATTTGGCTCCTTCTTATAGAGGTTGGAACTACACCTACTGTACATCTGGCAGCAAAATGCATCTTTCTTCATAGGAAGCAGGTTAAAAGTGGCCACATATTCTGACAAATCGCAAATATTTCATTATATTATAATGTATTAAAGTTTGCCAAACTGGGGTTTGTGAAAGAAAACTGGTGGTTTGTAAGGGAACTGCAGGAGGTTTCATGAAAAGCAAATCATTACTTAAATCATAAAAATATAATGTATCATCAAAGAAAAATAGAAACAATCAAAATAAAA